TTTGATCTATCCATCTTGTTGGGGATCTTCCTGGTGATCTTCCGCCTTCTACCTTTCCTTTATATTATGAGTCTTTCCATGTTTTCTGTGTTTGCTTTCATAACATGCCCAAAATATTTTAATTGTTGGAGATGGACTTTACTAGAGAGTCGTTGGCTAACTTTTAGCTTTCTTAAAATTGAATTATTTGTTCTACGGTCGGTCCAAGGAATTCGAAACATTGGTCTTCAACAGAACCTTTCAGTGGCGTCTATCTTTCTTCTCTTCGATTGTCTCAGAGTCCAAGATACACATCCGTAGGTCAGTATTGGGAATATTAAGCAGTTTGATCAACCTCATCTTTATCGCTCTTGAAATTAGACAGTCGTTCCATATTTTGGTCATTTTTGCTGTGGCAACTTTTGCTAGATCACATTTATGATGATAATGATAATGATCCCAGATATAAGTATGAGCTCACAACCTCGAACCGGTCATTGTGGTTATGTGTGGATGATTGTTGTGTAGTCTATCCACTATTATGATCTTTGTCTTTGATATGTTTAATTGCAGACCAAATATTTAACAAATATTTGACTTTCGTTTTCGATCAGTCGTATAAGTTCTATCAGCTCTGCTTGACTATTTGCGAGAAGGGCTGTGTCATTTGCGAAACGTAGGTTGTTTTAGTTTATGACCATTTATTGAGATGCTCTTTTCCCATCCTTCAAGTGCTCTTCGCATAATATATTCCCCATATTAGTTGAATAATTGTGGAGATAGTGTACATCCTTGTCTGACACCCCGTTCTGGATGAAATTCGTTCGAAAGTGTGTCAAGTACTTTAACTGATCCAGTAGTGTGTTCATATAGTTCGGTTATAAGCGTAATTAGATGTTGTGGTACGCCTTCTTCTTTTAGTATTCGCCACAAGTGTCTCCACTTGACCCTGTCGAACGCTTTACGGTAATCTATAAACAGATGTATAGTGGGATGTTGAATTCCCTAGATTTTCGATTATCTGTCTTACATTTCAGCAGGTGTTCTCGAGTGCCTCTACCTTTGGTAAATCCAGTTTGCTCTTGTGGAATTTCTCTTTGAAGGAATGTTTTCAGTCTCTCATTGATTTTATGTAGCATTTATCTTGCTGGCATGGGATATAAGAGAGATAGTTCTATAATTGTCGCATTTTATGGAAGCTGCCTTTTTTATGTATGGTCGTTATTGTAGATTTTGTCCAGTCTTCAGGCCATTGTTTGGCCTACAGAGTAGATGAAGTAACTTTACGCCGGTTTCTTCTGTGGCTTTAAGCATTTCTGCTGTTATCATATCTGGACCTAGTGCTTTGTTATATTTGAGCTTGTTGATAGCCTGTCTTACTTCATTTTCGAGTATATCAGGTTCCTCTTTCACCTCGTCAGAGATTTGGCTAACAAGCTCTTCTATGCTATGTCTTCTCTGTTTGTTCTCAGGGTTCCAGTGTTATCTTCAAAGGACCAAGTTCTGGCTCTGAAGTCTCTTGTCAGGTAGCGTATTTTTCTGAATAGATCTCTCGGCTGATTATTCTGACGATGTCTCTCAATTCATTTGCATATACTTTGATAGTACTGTTTTTTGTCGGCCTTAGGATTATAAAACGAAATAAAAACTATTATTTAAAAAAGCCAGAAGATTTTTTTAACGATATTAGGAAGATTCTCTGCAACTTGGCTTTAATTATTAATACACGCATGAGGATTCTTAGATGTTACGTTTTTAGCGTCCTTTCGTATGAAATAGAAACCTGGAGTCTTACAGATAACATCATACAATGGTTAGAGGCATTTGAAATGTGGTGATACTGAGTTATGTTAAGGGTGTTATATACACACAGAACTAACATAACTATTTTCTATAGGCTAAGAAAAGACAAAGCCATTATAAACACTGCAACGAAGAAAAAAATGGCTTACTTTGGCCACATTTTACGTAATAATAGATAGCGAAATCTACAGTTGACTCTACAAAGCAATATTAAAGGACAAACAGATTCTAGATACAAAGGCATATCCTGGCTAGTCAATATTACGATATGGCGTGGTCTTACGTCAATTAAACATATGATTAGTAGAGACTATGACGATGAAAGTGAACCGGAATAACAGGAGAAGCAGGCTACTATTATGACATGCTTTACTTACGATTTGTTGTGACCCGGCAAACTTCATTGGCACTTGGAATTACACTACTTTCCATTTCTAATATACTCGCGCAATAAAATATTTAGTTTTCAAACCATGTTTAAAGAAAGGAATGATTCTTTGCAGATGGTAAATTGATTTCTGCCTTAGAACTGTGACGGTTGCCCTTTTTAGTATTCAATTCGTTATAATCTATTCTGTACACTCATAATACCAGCGAAACATTTTTAGAACCACTTCGTGCGCTACCAACATCTGGCAGTTTTAATTCTACCAGGGGGAAATTTCAAGTTTGATGTTTTAAGCATTTTTTCGCTTGCTTTTTAAGAACTTTCTTTGCACGTGCCCCTTAATTGCAACAGAATCTTACCTCTCTGAAATTTCTTTAGAACATAGTTTTTTAAGAATGGCATTAAATTCATTCACTCATAGTTGTTCAGGTTGTTCGGGTTCTTGTTCTATTAAAAGCTCATTTGGTTCATTCACTTTTGCTCCTTCATGTTCATTAAAATCAGAATTACCAACAGAAAGCATATTTTCAATGTCTTAATTCGCACGTTTCCACAGATCCCTGTGACCAACTGTGTCTTGGCTTACCGTGTACTATATTTATATATTTCCACATGAAATATGGTTCTTCTATTTGCATTACAGAATTCTCGTCCATTATCGCTTTCAAGAATGTAAGGAGCATAAAAGGCACAAAATATGCCAAGAAGCACTAATGCAACTTAGTGTTTAATGGCAATAATGGTACAATTTTTGTTAAATGATCTTGGTAGAAAAAAATTAATTTGAACTCATTATCTGCTTGGGCTTGCATATCTATCAAATTTATTTGACAGGTACTATTCATTTCTTTTGACAGTAAAGGTTTCACTACTTAACTTTTTTGGGAACTTTGGATTATTTCTGGTAAGTTTCACACAGATCCAAATAGATCGTGATGATTTCTAGAGTCATGTTCTTGTACTTCTGTTGTAATTCTTTCAAAATTCTTGTTCAACCTTCATGTTCTCAAGTTCTTCTAAATGAACATAAAATAAAACATTTTGTTCATCTTTACTTATAACACCAGAAATAAAATAGGTCTTAAAAAATATGAAAACCGGAAAAGCCTCTGGACCTATTACGTTCTTAGTGAAATTATACAACTTCTGGAAGAAGACAATTTTATCTAGAAACTATTATCAAGACTCTTCAACAGTATATACAAGACTGGTACAATTTCACAAGATTTGTTAACGTCTACGTTTGTGCCTATACCTAAGTCAAAATACGCAAAAAAATGTATCGACTTCCGATTATTAAGTCTCATGCCTTATATTCTGAAGCTATTTCTATGAATTATCCATAGCAGAATTTACAAAAAAATCGAAGAAGATATGCGTCCGGAACAATTTGGCTTCCGAAACGGTATGGGAAAACGAGGAGCTTTGTTCAGGTTCATTGTTCTCATGCAAAAGTGCCGGGATCAACAAAAATATGTCTTCTTATGCTTCATAGATTATGAAAAGGCTTTTGACAAAATCAAACACGATCAGCTTATAGAATGCTTGCAAAAAACGTGAACTCTACTGGAACCAAAACGTCTCTGTCAGAACTGAAATGGTGATACTGAAACCATAAACATACAAGAAGAAATAGACAAGGTTGTATACTATCACCATTATTATTCAAGTTGTACTCAGAGGACATCTTTGCACATGCTCTGGATGAAGCACAAAAGGAATAAAAGTCAATAGAAAAATTGAAGTGCATAATCGAAGATAAATTCAATTTAGAGTTTAATCTTTCTTTTCACGGTCTGGCAAATGACATTTGTGCTAAGTGTGACCAGTTTAATGTAGTTTTAAAAAGTATGGAAAGTAAGCAACTAACTAAAGAAGAAGATGAGGAACAGAGAAAACTTTTACTTGTGAGGGAAAAACATTTAGATTTAGCTGAGAGTACTTATAAGCAAAAGTCGTTAGACAAAGAACGAAGCGAAATAGACCAATAATTTGTGGTTGCTTGTTTTACTTTGCTTTTGACTGCTAGAAAAATGTCTATCCACCCCATTCCTCCGGAACGGTGTTTGGTTTTAGAAAAGACAACTATGGACCTACAACTTAACAGTGTTTGAAACTACCACATCAGGCAATGTGAGAAATTGTTTTTTATGGAATGAGACAGTGGCTGGTCGTGGTGGGCAAAAATAGCTTCATGTATAAGAAAATTCATTTTGTCGCTCCCAATAGAAGTAGAAATACTCATTTATACAGTAATTCTTGTTTTGGCCAAAACAAAAACATTTTTGTATCCACAATGATATTGTTAGTAATGCGTGAGATGAAAACAATAAGAAAACGTTTCAAAGAAGTAGATCATAAATTTATGGAAAATGGTCACACCCATATGGAGACCGAAACAATTCATGCGGCCGTAGGGACAGCTAAGAAAAAGACAACATCTGAAATTAAATTTCTTTTGTATTATGTATTTTAAAAAATAAAGAATTTTCTTTTAAATCATAATATTTTACTGCTCTGTTGCAGGGGCCAATGTCCCTATCCGGCAAAATCTGCACAAGGCCAATTTTAATGTTTTTCTAGGTATAAAGAAAAATAATAAAATAGTATTCAGTGTAATAAAGCCTGGCATTAAATTAATACATATTAAAAAAAACATACTCCAAACCTGCTAAACCCATTTTCTCCAAACAGTACAAATGGATATTGGTCCTTTTTCTATTAAGGTGCAGATATGTGACTTCAAAATGTCATAAATTATTTTATTTTTAAATTTATTTATTTATATAAGACAACATATGTGTTTTGTCTACGCCTATGAACTACTTACCTTATTTGAATAATATTAGAAAAATCGTAATTGATAACGTTCAGCAGAACAATGCATTTTGTTACGTTGTATGCGATGTCTCTGGGATAAAATTCTAGAGCGCTGCGGGCATCCAATTGTGTCAGTATAATAGGCACTTCCTTGTGTTCGTACTTAAAATGAGAGCCCAAAGTAAATAGAGATACGAATTTGTTGCAGTTGGCTTTTGGGCACTGGATTGGTCTAAAATCATTAAGTTAACTTATGTAAGATAAAATTAAAATACCTTAAAAAATATAAACTGATTTCAGTTAATAACTGCATTAGAATCATCTATACTATAATTTCGGGTGACTGACTCACTTTCGAAGTTTAAATATAGATTTCAGGATTCGGAATATATAAAAGTATGTTTTTTTTTTATTTATTTGTATTTGAGTTTGACTTTGGCTACTTTTTACAAAAAATGACACTAAAACACAAAAAAGAGCTTACTTTATTATAACAAATGAACATGTGGTGTGCAAAGTTACCTGCTAGTATCGGGTGACTTTGTCTCAAGCAACATTTTACATTTATTCTCTGTGATTATTATTGTTTGGGCTAAAGTCACCCTGCAAGATGAATCAAAAATAAACATTTTGTTAGGTATAAAAAAATATTTATTTAAATTTCAAGCAAAAAAACTAAAACTAATATGAAACTAGAGGGCAAAGGGCATAGGGCAAAGACTATGTAACCTAGCAACAACAACAAATTTGTTAATAAGCTCGACAAAATTTGAACACCCTAAAATACATAAGGTAACATGGAGGTCACCGGATCAGAAAACATATAGTCAAATTGATCACATAATGATTAATAAACGAAAACAATCGTCAATAAAAGATGTAAGAACGTTCAGAGGTGCGTGTGCAGATTCAGACCACTACATGGTCACAGCCATTTTAAGACAAAAAGTTAAAATTGTAACAAAACAAAAAAACCAACATAAAAAGTGGAATGTCAATAAATTGAGTAATGAAGAAGTAAGAAAAAAATATGAAGAGGCAGTAAAAGTTCAAATAAAAGAGAAATATAAAGTAGAAGATATAAGCACAGAATGGGAGACGATCAAAAAATCAATAGAAGAAGGTGCAAATATGCAGATAGTAAAAGTCAGGCTAAAACAAGAAACGAATGGTATAACCAAGAATGTAGAGAAATAACAGAAAAAAAAGTGCAAGCCAGAAATAAATGCTAAGAACAGATAAAGAGGAAGACAGAGAAGAATATGAAAAATTAAGAAGGTATGCTAAGAAAGTGATAAGGCAAAATAAAAGAAGATGGGTAGACAAAAAAATGCAGGAAATAGAGCAGAAAGAACAAACAGAAATACGAAAAGTTTTTACAAAAAGATTAAAGAACAAACCAAAAAATACAAGGGCAAAACAAACGGAATAAAAAATAGAGGGAAATAGTGATAATAGAGGATCAAGAATACAAGCAAGTATGGAGAGATTACTACAGAGAGCTTTTGATGGAGGAAACAACAGAAGAACGTCGAAATTTCAAAAGAACCAACATTAGAGGAATTGGATGAAGTAATACAGAGAAGCAAAAATGGAAAAGCCCCAGGTAAAGATGGAATTAATATGGAACTAATAAAATACGGGGGAAGGGAACTAAGAGGAAAAATACTGGCACTATTGAAAAATATATGGAAAGAAGAGAAAATGCCAGGTGACTGGGAGGTAGGACAGATCACAACAGTACATAAAAAGGGAGACCAACAAATCTGTGAAAATTATAGAGGAATAACATTACTAAATACAACATATAAAATATTGACATCAATAATAAAAAAGAGGTTATCAAAGATCACAAAGAAGACAGTAGGACAGTACCAATGTAGATTCACAGAAGGAAGATTTACAATAGATGCAATACACACAATAAAACAAATAATGGAAAAAGCAAACGAGTATAAATTAGAATTGGAAATGTTATTCATAGACTTCAAACAGGCATTTGATTCAATTAAAAGGAACGTATTAATGACAGCACTTAAAAAATTAAAAATTTCACATAAACTCAGAAAATAATAGAAATGACAATGAGAACTACAAAAATAAGCATAAAGACACAAAGAGGAGAGACAGAGGAATTCAGTATAAATAAAGGGATGAAACAAGGAGATGCCTTATCAACGACGCTATTTAATCTAGCATTAGAATATGTACTGCGAAATATAAATAAAGGAAATCTCAGAACAGAGTGGTCAAATAATTGCATATGCAGATGATATTGCTATTATTGCAAAGAACAGAAAAATAATGAAAGAAATGCTTGAAGAAATAAGAGAGAAAGGGGAGGTAATGGGGCTAAGATTAAATCAAGAATAGACAAAAATATTAAGATTAGGGAAAAAACCAATGAAGGAAAAAATCAAAATAGGCAGTTCCGAGTTTGAAGAAGTAGAATACTTCAAATACCTAGGAGTTACAATAAGTAAATCCGGAGAAAGGAAATCCGAAATAAAAGAAAAAATATTAGCAGCGAATAAAGCTTATTTTGCAAACAAAAGATTACTTAAAAGCAAAACACTGACTAAAAAAAGCAAGATGAGCATTTATAATACCATAATTAGACCAATATTATTATATGCAGGGGAAACAATGACGATGGTTAAAAAAGATGAAGAAGACTTAAGAATTGCAGAGAGAAAGATTATGAGAACCATACTAGGACCAATCAGAACAGAGCAAAATGAATATAGAAGCAGAACAAATGCAGAAATTAAGGAAGAACTTAAGGAAGACATTGTAACTAAAATAAAGCAATGCAGAGTTAGATGGTAAGGTCACATCTGGCGAGCAGGCGATGAGGCAGTGACATACGCAATGATAGAATGGAATCCAGGAGGAAGAAAGAGAAGGGGAAGACCGAGATCAAAGTGGCTGCAAGAAGTTGAAGAAGACCTCCAAAGGGCAGGAGTCAGCCAATGGAGAGGAAGAACTAGAACAGGAAAAAATGGAGAGATATTGTCAAGAAGATAAGATAAACAAAAAAAAAGACTAATCCACTTAAGAAATAGGATCTAGAAAGCATTTGCGGTTTAACCCCACGTTGGGGTGTATATAGCCATTATATATATAATATGAAACTACAGAGGGCCCTAAATTCACAAAAAAAAACATAATTTCTAAAAAAAAAATAAACAATAAAACGATTTACAAGCTTTTTTTTGAAGTGGAAAGAAATGTCGGTTATTTTCAAGTACCAATGGCTCTGTGAAATCAACGTTACCCAAGTGGTAGGATTTTCTTACTGCGACTTCGGGCCATGGCCATAAACTTATTTCAGCTAGTACCATTACTTGCACCCAACCTGGAAAGCTGTGAAGTAGTTAGTCGGATACAATTAAGAAGTCTCCAACTCGAATGGAAAACTCTTGTAGATCTGCGTTACTCATATAGCTCTCATTAGATGCAGAATAAGACGTAGTATCTGCAGTGTTTCCAAAATCTTGTATTTTATTAAAACGTTTGATTTTTTTTACCATCTTATGTTTAGACAATTCACTAGAGCCAGCTGCAGCAATGGTCTCTTGTTCAGAGATTTCTTGATCTAGGCTACTGCCAAGTATTACTATACAACTTTATTATAAACGTCTTAAAAGACCTCATTTTGTATATTTTCTTTCTCTGTTTCACAAATCTGATTATTGGCTTGATTGTTCCCTGTTCAGTTTTCCTTTTAATGTTACGTTTTGCTGCTATTTCGCTTTTGTTTTGATTTTTTTGTAGTGCCATTTTCTTTTACTGGCTTCTTATTAGCCGCTTTTTTGCAACTTTAGCATCTTGTTGACTTTTAACATCTTCAGCACAGATACTTTTTCTTGCTGCAATTTCTATTTTTTTAACAACTCCGTTAGCTGTGGGTTGGAAACCCACACCTTTTTTCTACAAGAAAATTTAAAATAGTGTTATTTACTCTCAAAAGTACATGCGCAGCATTAGTTTTATAGCTTAAAATTCTGGTTAGTACCTCATCTGCGTTTAGGGGAAAAATGCCACATTTCCTAAAGCCGTTTTCCAAATTTTTTCCGCCATTTACACTAATTAGTTCAACCAGTTTTTCCAAAAGGGTAGGAAAGGTATTGTTTGGGACAATGATAATGTTAACATTTAGTGTTTTGTATTCTACCAAAATATTTCGTCAAGCTATTTTCATCGGTCGGAAGTAGGCGACGTCTAATGGCTATGTTAGGTGCGTAGAATTGGCAGGAAGACACACGAATTCAAAGTTTCCTGCTTCACACAGCTGTAAAATTATTAATGATATATGAGACGATAAATTGTCACCAATTAACACTTTAATGCCAGGAATGTGTTTTAATGTTGGAAATAAAAGAGAAGTGAACCAGTCTTCCAAACAAGCTGTGTCGAACCATCCGCTTTTTTATTTGTTGTACCGTGCTCCATTTGGGCCATTTTTTACCTAAGTCGACCACAGTTTATTGGATTTATATAAGAAGTCTAAAGGTAGCATTTTTCCAGCCGCATTTCCAAAAAACAATATTTATATTACCGATTTACTAAAATTCATCGTTCTTTCAGGATATTTAGTCCCAAGTTTTGTTAAAATTTTCTTTTTGCCGGGGCCGTTACTTAAATTTGTTTCATCGTAGTTCCAAATTTTGTTAGCTGGTATATCGACTAGTTCATTCTGAAATTTGTTAAGGTAGTTAGTCTCTTATAGTGGTTTCCCTGATTTCTGCTCTCGTTCGTTGGTGTTGCTTGCAAAACGTTGAGTAAACAACGGATTCCGTTTTGGCTTTTTAAATATCAACCCAGACAATGATGCGTAACAAAAGAGAACGTCTATAAAACCCAAACCCATTCTCAGAAAAAGCCATAACTAAAAGAGGCATAAAATCTAAACGAGGTTTCATAACTACTGGTACGATCGCTTTCTTATTCTGTTTTTCCCTACTCTTTTGTTTATATGCTTATTGGTTGCTAAAAAAAACATTTTAAACCAGATGATTAACACTTTGGGTAATAACGATTGCTTTGTTATTTTAATTAGATAATAATAACATTTATTAATTATTGTTAAAAAAATCCTACACAATAAAGTCTAAAATAGTTTCACGACTTGTACATTTAATGGAATGTTGATAAAAACATATAATATTAATAGCCCCATTGTTCATTTTATTGCAAAGTCAAAGGTTAACACAACACAAAAGCTTCATATTTACGTGAAATATTTTAAATTTGTCTTATGTCAACAAACAATTATCTACTATCAATATATTGTTTACTCTTAGTTACTTTTTTTTAACTAGCTAGAAACCGCAATTTTTTGAAAAAGATTATTAGGGTATTAAGGTATTAATGGCAAAAGTTGTCATTATAATACAAATAATATTGTTTATTACAAACATTAAATGACTACACTATATTAAAAAAAAACACAAACAAGAACATTTCAAATAAATAGGTAGGATAGTTTAATCTTTTTTGTTCGATTTCTTCTGCACTGAAAATAGGCCACCCACAGACAATATTCTAGAATGCCTAGTGATGATCTAGAATTTATTATAGTTATAGAAGCTTCTTAATGTCTTCAATTTTCTTTGTTAGAATTTTCCCGTAATATGCAGAGAGGTTTGGAGGATTGGCACAAATATAGATGGACTGCCCCTTAAGAGTATTTAAAAATTAAAAACGTTCCTCAAGAATGACATAAATATATATATATATATATATATATATATATATATATATATATAATATATATATATATATATATATATATATTATGTAAAAGTAAACCTATGTTTATTTTAAGTGAAACAGCAGGGTTTTAGTTATTTTTAGTTATTTAAAGTTTTAGGTTGTATGACTGTTTAAGTTTTAGTGACATTGACATATTGTAAATTGTATTGCCAAATTACTTAATGGCGTAAGAAATAGCATTGTTCTTGATTCTCTTTTTAGGTTTGTATATTTGTTACGTTATGTTAGTTATGATATTATTGTTAATAATTTATATTGTAGAATTTTAACGATAATAAACTCTTTTTAGACGAATTTAAACTGCTATCTCTTCACATGAATAAAGGTATGATATTACACTTATAAATCAAGAACTTAAGCTGATAAAAAAAAATATAGTGATAACTATAAATTTCCAAGTCGTTATTTGGACAAAACGATATTTAAGAATGAATTTTACATCAATGAGAATTTGCATGGCTATAGAAGCAAACAGTAGTGATAGTAACAAAAATGTATATAAATTTAGGTGGCTGCAGCCAGCAGGGTCCCGTTTTTATTATAAAAGCCCCTTTGAAAAACAACTTGAAATTGATCATTCTGAACTATTTCATCTGAAAAAAGTGAAGAATATGTTAGCATCTATGAAAACAAGAGCATCCTTTAGAACAGGTACTATAGCATTAGAAGACAATTTGAAGGAGATTTATTTTGATTCAGATGGTGATGTGGTTTATCAAAGTGAGTACTTACAAGAGACCTTATTACCAGTGTATGAGAAGATAGAAACAACTGAACAATTTCCATCATTTGCTAAGTTGCTCCAGAAATTTAATGACACAAATTTACCCAAAGTTGAAAAGAAAAATTAAAAAAATAAAAGATGATTTTGTACTTCGAAATTTTGATGGAAATAATGTTCCAATGAATTCATGGCTCAAGACCTTCGAATCAGAATGTTTGCGATGTGAGGTGGTTGCTGATGAAGACAAGATTTTGATTCTACGTTTGTTTCTTGATGGAATAGCAAAAGAATGGTTTTAATCATAAATAATAACATCAGGCTTAGATAACAGTTTTGAGGTACGGAAAATTAATTTTTTAAATAGTTTTTGTGAAACAGGTTGGCATAATCATAGGCAAGCTTATTCTTTTAGGTATATAGGTGGTAGTATTGTTGATTATGCGTTTCGTAAAGAAATTTTATTGCTAAATATAAAGAATGATTTTCTTGTTGATATACTAATTGATTTAATTGTAACAAATTTGCCAATTTATATACAAGATAATATTAATAGAGCTGACGTTACAACAATGGAAAAATTGGTAGGTGAATTACGATAATTGGAAAGTTTAGTTATAAAAAAGAAAAATAAATTGGAGACAAAACCAAATTTTTATCAAAAAACTACTATAATACCAGAAGAACAGAAAACTACTTGTCAATATTGTGATAAAAAAGGATTCCCTGGGAGGTTTCACCCAGAGGCAATATGCCGTTTTAAAGCAGAAAGGTAAAAAAGGTAACAAAAGAAAACAAATCAAATGATATTAAATATATTAATAATATTGCTATACAGGAAACATTAAATGAAACAGTAACTGAACAAAAAAAAACTAGATTTGCTGCCATTGATCAAATTAAAAGTATTCCTAAATAATAAAGAATTAAGTGGAGTTTATGACCCAGGCTCAAATGTTACTCTTCTGAATTCGAAGGTGGCAAGAAAGTTAGGATTAGATATTCAAGAAGATAGGAATATGTTTAAAACGATAAATGGCAGAACAAGTTTTACAGGAAAACTAATTGCAAAACTGAAAATTATTAAAATTGAGAAAAATATTAATCTTTTTGTAATTAATGATGAATATTTTGAGTACGATATTCTACTCGGATTAGATTCCATTTTAAATTTTCAAATGAAACAAGATTTTGATTTAGAAATTTATCAAAGATTATACGGACAAATTAAAAAAAAATCGAAAAATTTAATTATAATATTAATATTACAGAATACTCCATAAACTTTAATGAGGGAATTCCCACAGAACTTTTTGAAGCAAAATTAGAACATTTATTAGCATATCAGAAAAATAAAATAGAAATATTACTAAATAAATATCACAATATTTTGGCAAAACATAAATTTGACATTGGGCAGGTTCAAAATATTGAAGCTCGAATTAAACTTTTAGAACATAAATTTGTTGCAAAAAGGCCCTATAGATGCTCGATAGAAGACCAAAAAGAGATAGAATTTCAAATAGGATAATTATTAAAAGCAAATTAATAGAAGAATCATCTTCACCTTTTGCAGCACCTGTTACATTGGCTTTTAAAAAAGATGAAGGATCTAAAACAAGATTGTGCATTGACTTTCGTGAGTTAAACAAATTAATTATTCCTGAACCCCAACCTTTTCCTTTAATTGACGAGATTTTGACCAAAACAAGGAATACTAGGTTCTTTACTACTTTAGATATAAATTCTGCTTTTTGGTGTATTCCAGTTCGGATAAAAGATAAATACAAGACAGCCTTCGTTACCCAAAGTGGTCATTGGCAATGGAAATGCTTACCTTTTAGGCTTAAAACATCTCCCGCAATATTTCAAAGAATTTTAAGTATTATTATCAGGAAGCATAATTTAAATTCATTTTGTATAAACTACATAGATGACATTTTTAATATTCTCATTATCATTTGAAGAACACTTAGACCATATAGAAAGACTTATGAAAGCAATTATTGAAGAGCGATTTAGGCTCAAACTTTTAAAATGTAATTTTGCAAGAGAAGAGGTTAAATATTTGGGACACATTGTGGGAAACAATTCAGTTGGTCCGTTACATGATAATTTAATATCGATCAGAAATTTTCCAGCACCAGACACGAGAAAAAAAGTACGACAGTTTTTGGGAAAAGTAAATTTTTACCACAAATATATACAAGATTCAGCTAGGCTATTAGAGTCACTACATAATTTACTTAGAAAAGATATCAATTTCCACTGGTCTTTAAGCTGCCAAAAAGGTTTTGATAGGGCAAAGAATATCCTCTGTTCTGAACCTATACTAGCCATTTTTAACCTAAATGCTCCTACAACTATATATACAGATGCTAGTGTTGTAGAAATTGGTGCGATTCTGAAACAAAAACAAAGAGATGGAGAAATGAAACTCGTAGCATACTTTTCAAAAAAATTAAACAAATATCAAAAAAATAAAAAGGCTATTTTTTTAGAATGCCTGGCAATTAAAAAAGCAATAAAATTTTGGCAATACTGGCTAATGGGAAGAAAATTTCTGGTTATTACTGATCATAAACCCCTTGAGGGAAGAGAACTTCGTACAAGACCAGATGAAGAATTAGGAGCTATGACACAGTTTCTTTCACAATTTGACTTCGACATTAAATATGAACCTGGAAAAGAAAATGTAGAAGCAGACTGCCTTTCTAGAAACCCCGTTTTGGAAAATTTTAAAAATGCAGAAACATTCATAAGAAGAGTAAACCTAGTCACATTAACTGAGATAAAACAAGACCAAAATATTAATCGACAAGTTATAGATACAATGAGAGAAACAATTTTTGAACCAAGATATATTTTATAAATTAAGGAAGAATGAAAAAAAATAATTTATCCAAAGTTTTTGGAAAAGAGTTAAGCTGGAATACTTCGGTCACATTATGAGACACCGTGAAAAATATGATTTTTACATCTGATCATTCAGGGAAAGATCAAAGGTAATCGTGGTCCTGGTAGAAGAAGAACATCATGGCTGAAAAATTTAAGGCAATGGTATAAAAAATCAAGTACATCGTTATTTAGAGCTGCTGTCAATAAAGTCACGATCGTGAATATGGTAGCCAACATGGAATATTGAAATTGATAACGGTCATGGAACTAGAAGAAGAAGAAAATTAAATTATTAGAATAATTTTTCACCAAGTAATAAAAATCAAAATTTGTTAAATTACTAATGCTTGTATTTTGAGAACGATTTCCGAAGGAGAAATCGAAATGTCAAAAATAAATTTATTTTAAATTTATCTTACTCCTAACGAAATAAATAATTGCACGAAGTTTTTTTTTAATTATAAGTTTATGCAGATTTTTGTCCTTATATTATTCAAAAATGTCCTTACCTTTTTGATAAAGAAGTAGTGCTTGAATTACTATAACCTATATTTATTTTTTTCCTTGCATCCGTATATATTTCTGGATATGGAATAAGTTTCTCACATAAATCAGATTCTCTTGATTGTGAATCTCCCGAAGCTAAAGTAGAAATAAAAATCTATATATTTACGAAACTTTAACGAAGTTGAATTAAAACAGAAGCTACAATTTACAAATAAGTCAATGAAAACTGGATCCTTAACAAGAAATAGAAAGCAAAGAATAGGAATAAAACATATTAAGAAATTAGCAGACAAGACTGAGTGGAACAGAGTAAAATGTAAAAAAATAGCAAAATAGCATCAAGAACAAAAATAATAAAGAAACAAATAAATTAATTTAGTTACGTGGGAAGAATTAATTAAACCTGATTGGTAAATTAAATAATGGCAGGGAAAAATTTAACCAAAAGAAAAAGCAGGTAGACAAAGAAATAACTGGCTGAAGCAAATAGAAGAATATAGAAAAGGGAGAGCAAACACCGTAAAAGAGATAAATAAACTAGCAAAGAATAAAAGAGAATAGCAGAAATGGAAAAATGATAAACTGAAATGACATTCCGATACCTGAGAGGGTAAGGGAAGCGGGAGAAGAAGAAGCAAAAAGAACAATTTCTTTCTTTCTCCCTTTCGGAAATCTAAAGGAAAAAGTAAACATTTTAAACTAAAATTCTGGTTAATTCGCATTAAAAATAGTCAATTGTGATAAAATAAGGAAAGAAAAAAATAACAAATGACAAATAATGAAGTTTAGATATGCATTTGCGCAGAAGATGCAAAAGCCTAAAATATATGATTAACAACGCCCATATAAAGAAAGGTACATACAAATAAATTACTAAGAACCCAAAAAATAAGAATCCGAAGAAAATACCAACAAAAACATTATTAGAAGAAAAAAAAGAAGTAATAAGATTAAAAATAAGTTATAAATAAGTGGGTTAGATGTCTTTTTATATTTACAGGAAGGAAGGAAGCAGTCCAATGTAGTGTGTCTAAATTGTGCAATTTTTTTTAAACTTTCAAAAGAGTAAAGTTGCATTAATTATACTGTTCTTCTAGTATTATATATGGCGATGTCATTGCAGAGAATTTGCTATTTCTTTTTCAGGATGTGACACAATATCAGAAGGTTACAAGATCGGCAAACTTAACTTCCTCAAAATTTTACAGAAACATCCAAAGTTAGCTAACAGAACATTCTTATTTCTCAAAAAGAAAGTAGAGCCAACTTCAGCCACTGTCATTGGTAAACATTTTTTGTCTCTTTATATGGTATAAATAAAGACGATTCTCTGACAATATGAGATACATACAATTCGCCAAGACAGTGACCAAAAGTACATTTAACTATTCATTGCTTCCACCAACACAAAATGCAGCTCGTTTTAGCAGTATTAGCGTTCATTACCAGAAAACACTGCAATCCTAGGGATTGCAGCTTGAAAAAGCATAGAAAAATATGGATACTAATTAAAATTTTCCAAATTCCAGCATCCGCCGAACTTGCAGAAGCAAAGACAACTGTGGAGGTATGTGTGGTTGCCGAAAAGCAGGCCTTAAATGATCTGTAGTGTGCCTCAATTGTTCTGGTTTAAGTACAGTGACATCATGGAAATATTAAAAAGAACATAAATAAACAATTGTAGCTGGAAAACAACTATTAAATATATAATTATGCACAATATTATCTTGCCTGTAAATTGTCCGGCGATTAGGCCTAATGGAGATCCCAAAAAATGCGCATTTACACTCTATCTGATACGTGGTTAGGAAAAAGGTTGATAATAAACTAATAACAGAGGAATGTTAACAAAATAATGCCTTATGTGAATAAGAAATATATAATAGAATACTAAGCTTAATGATTCATTTATATCCTATTCTTAAGAGTATTCTAGAATTTCGGAAGACTGTAAAACCCAGAAAAATTTATGAAATTAACAAACTTGTAGTGAAAAGTATTAGTTAAAAACTCCCTATATTACTTTCGTGTCTTTTTATTGTAAAATAACCAAAAAAAAGTTATAAGGTCCAAAAGAAAATTTGTTCAAATAATTTTTAAACGGCATCATTCTGATTTGTTTAAAATGAATATTTTTTAATATAAATCAATAAAAAAACCGAATCAGAAACATTTTTTCCACGGGAGTGACCTCACAACTTGGACTATGATAATTTTAAAGCCATTTCGAACCATTTTCTTTTTGTACGGCATTTTGTTTCTATTGATAATTAATGTCAATATAAATAAAATATATCAATGCCGTACAGAAATTTTCCGTACGTAATATGATCGTACATATGATCATCGATATGTATGATCATTTTAATATCTAACTTATTAGGGGGAAATTAATTTTCCTCTCATAAGCACATGTACCGTGAAAAATGTACGCCATGTCCAAAAATATTAAGTATTATATTATGCAACTAAATTAAAATTAGTAAGTTTCATATTGGCTCAAATGACCTCTCTGTCATACTTAAAAATAGAGGAAAACATGATGGTACGTATGATCATCCTAATATCCCACTCTCATAAGCCCACACACCCTGAAAATGTACGGCGTGTCCAAAGATAATTAATTAGTAAGTTTCTTATTGGCTCAAATGACTTTGTTGTAATACTTAAAAAACGAGGGGTGCGGCTTAGATTTCTCACCCCTGTTCCAGCCAATATATACGGCATTGCAAAACAAGTAATCTGAATAACGATCTAAAAGTATGTGTATGAATGCCGTACTGTATCAAATCGTTAAAAAATGAAGTAGAAATTTTCCCAAAATACCGGTATTTTTTAAGGCATTGCGTCGCAGATCATTTTTTTTATATAACCTACCTAAGTTTAATTGCTACACGAAAAGAATCCTGAATGAATATCAGGTCGGCTTTAGAAAGGACAGATTTACTGTAGACCAAATCTTTTTATTAAATGAGATGCAAACGACTTGTTATGAAGGTAAAATTCCCCTGCATGTTTTGTTTGTGGATTTTACACAAGCATATGATAGAGTCGATAGAGTTAAAATGTATCGAGCAATGGAACATATGGGTATACCAAAGAAACTGATCTGGCTAGTTAAAATGATACTTAATAACTCTACGTGTGAAATTGCTTGGCAGGGTCACATATCAGATCAATTTACGGTTGCAAAAGGCTTGAGATAGGGAGATCCTTTATCCACTACATTATTCAAACTGAAATGAAGAAAAACCAAATATATGATCATGGGAGGGACAGAAGGGAAAAAAAGAAGACTTTAGTGTGAGGTCAGTAAGTGGTTAAAGCCATAGTTTTACAAAAGTGGACAAATTTGAATACCTGGGTGTAATTTTCGATGAAAATGGAAAAGAGAAATGGGAGCTCGAAGCCAAAATAGCAAAAGGGAATAAAAAATTAGGTAGTTTAAGAGCCATACTAAACTCAACATACGTTTCTAGACAAGGCAAACTCAGAATATATAAAACAGTAATTCGACCCACAGTAACATAAGCCGGTGAGACATGGACATTAAATAAGAAGGAAGAGGATACTCTGGAAATATGGGAACGGAAAATATTAAAACGCATATTCGGAAAACGGAAGACAGAAGATGGTTGGGAAAGAAGAACTAACAATGAATTAATGGCTTTATACAAAGCACCTACCATTACCAAGTTCATAAAGGCACAAAAAATCACATGGTTGGGACATGTGGAAAGAATGCCAGCAAACATAATGCCTAAACTAGGAATAACCAGAAAAATTTTACAGCAGGTCCTTCACAGTAGTTAAGACAAAAATGTTGCACCAACCCCCCCCCCTTAAGTAGTAAGTTTACCTTACTTGAATATTCACCTATACCGATAAAATTTAACGGCACAAATAGTTTCTAAAGTTGTTATTACATATTGTAGTATTGATTTATATGTGATTTATGCTAAGTCCAATGACCCCTTAAAAACGCCCCATGGGCTTGTAGACTATAAGAGATAATAATAACAACGTTTTTTAGTTTAATATTTTTTGCAGTTTAATTCATAGCTAACGGCTAATCTATAGTTTACCTGCACAATAAACACTTTTAAAACAATCCTCACAGTAGGGTACGTGGTCTCTTCCTTCGATCATTTCTGCTTTATAAAATTCTTCCTGGCATCCCACACATACTGATATGTCTCCAAACTTACTCATAATTATTCCGATTAATTTTAAAAATTTCACAAAAACGCAGCGCAAATGTCAAATACTGACATAATTAATGAAAATATGACGTAGTGTTACCTTAATAGAACCAAATAGACGAGAAGCGAATTCTCAAAAAGATGACCACGATCTATAACTCGTTGGTCACAGAGCAAATTTGGTATGAAAATGCTTATAATATAAATCTGCACCACCTTTCTAATTAAATTTTCTTAACCCAGATATTACTGAAACTTTTATTGTTAACATTTTGAATTAATTTCGAATTTTCATGGAAATTATAGCATATGGAACCAAAAAACACAATCATATATTTTTTTATGACGATACCTGTCAAGTTTTGACATGTTCTTTTAAAAGGACGGTAGTAATATACGGTACCAGATATCATATACATTTTATTAGTATCAATTTACAAAGAATGAAAGGATTTAAAACAAAATTTTGGATGTAAAGGTATTTTGCACTTTTCACACAAAAACTGGACTTTTTTGTGACAATATCCACATCGCGATTGCTTTTCTTGATAAAGAACCAAGTGGTTAATACCGTCATATCTTGAATTGGCTACCGAATTCGAATTCCGCTTAGAAGGTCCGCGTTTTGTTTCTTTTTTAAAAGTTTCCAAAATATTAGTTGCAATAGATCTTCTAAATTCAAGTTGATCCAGTTTACCGTCTTGAGTTTTGTGAATCTGCCACGCATTTTGAATAGCCATATCAACGCAATGAGCAAAAAAGGGAAAATACCATTTGTTTCCTCTTATGGACACTCGATATAAACTGATGTTCTGGTCACTGCGATCAACGTCATCCATGAAGTTATTGTATATTCTAACAATATTTGGTTGAGGAACTTGAATATGTTTTTTCTCTGCTTGTGAAAATCTCTTTACAGAGACGCAAGGCATTACTGGTACAAAATTGGAAGCAATGGAAACGATATTATTATCATGCCAGCGGCAAACCACTATTCCTGTATTTTTATCAAGACGATACTCGTATTTACCACGTTCAGTTTTTTTTCATAATAGATGAACAGGATAAAGGGCATTTCATGGTGCGATTTTCCCTTACAGTGCCTCTATCAAATATGCCTCTTTGTTTTAGCTCATGCAGTATATGAATAGAAGTAAAATAATTATCAAAAATAAGATGGAATCGCCTTTGAGGCCATACTTCATTCAATCTGTCTGCATAGGATAGAACTACTGATGCACCCAATCCAAGGACTTTATATTGTTTAGGTATTGTAGTGGAATTACCTTGGTAAGGAGAAAACCAAACTATGTATCCCAGACGAAGGGCTCCTACCCACATTTTGTACCCCCAACGGATTGGTTTTCCCCTGATGAATTGTTTTGTGGGATGGCGACCAAAATACGTAACCATTGCCCTATCTATGCTGTGATGTTGTTCTAAAGGGGAAAATTGTATAAATTTTTTGTTTATTACGTCGAACAGGGGTCGCATCTTGGCAAATCTATCAAATTTATCTAATGACAAGTTATTTCAAACATGCAAAACTCTTTCATTATGTGGGAAAATCTATCCCTAGATATAGCAGCTACCACCATTGCGTTGTGCGAATCGTCACGATTTTCCCAGTACATTTACCTTTTCGGCACAACCACATAACCACTCAATACAAGAACGCCTATAAAACATCGAATCTCATTTTGAGTAATGTCGTTTAAAAGATTTCTTTGTCCTGCTTAGATGTAAGTGTATTCGGTAACCAAATTGATGACTTCATCATCAAAAAACAAATTGAAAATTTCCATCGGCGACTGAGTCATTATCGGTCCAAATTGAGTTTTTCAGTAAGTACAATCAGGGTGTTGATACAAGTCTCCTTGAATCCAGTGTGCAGATATTCTCTTCTCTAATTGATGGGGCAGCTTTTCCTTGGAAAGAAACAAAGCCAATGGTATATTGTCATCATCCGAATCTTCTTCTGGTACGCTGGAATTCACAGAATCTTGTGGTAATTCAGTTGCGTTGTCAAAAACAAGTTCTACATCGTTTCTCATCTGACTACCCGGTAAATTATTTATTGTAGCTAGTTCTTCATCGCCGGAGTCGCAATCGGTGACATCATCATTGGCATTTTCTGGGGGAAATATGATCAAACCATCTGGAGGGACTGGGATTTCATCAGAATCAAGCTCTTCTAATAGCTCATGCAATTTGAGAGGCCTCCTGAAACAATACGCACGTTGGTAGTACTAATTACTACCGTCCTTTTAAAAGAACAAAATGAAATCCCAAGCGGCGAGCCTTTGAAACAACGTGACAACTATTCGAGCCAAGAATATACGTACATAAGTCCCTATTATACAATAATCCACATGCCAATGCTGTGAAATAACAGTTTTTTAATTCTAGACTTACCTCCAATTATAAGCATCGATTTTGTAGTCCAAAACCTGACAATTTACACAGATAATCTCACAATTATAGTATTGTCGGCGCCTTTTAAAAGGACGGTAGTAATATCTGGGTTAATTGGGGTGGAAAAATGTAAATAAACAAGAAAGAACAACATTTTTAACATTTTAAATTTAATAAAATTTAGTATTTAACTTGTGGTATCTCGGCTCTGATTAAAAATTTTAATCTCTTATTTTGACATACTATACTATAAAAAATTTTGCAAAAAAAAAAGATGTGACCGAACTATTAATTTTGATCATAAACAGAATGGCGATTTTTTAAACAAATAATATGCTACACGTTAGATTCAAAACTACAAATAATTGGTCAACACATAGCGTCAACATTAATGCCAATTGTACATATATAATATTATATATATATATATATATATATATATATATATATATATATATATAATTTATATATATATAGAGTGTGTATATAACGACGCTAAGAATACAATTCTTTGGAGAGTAACTTTCGGGAAAGCGTCAAAACAAGGATCAGCTAGAGATGGTATAAGCCAGTTTCGTGTAGAACTTTATTCGAAAATTTCACATTTCGAATAAAGTTCTACACGAAACTGGCTTATACCATCTCTAGCTGATCCTTGTTTTGACGCTTTCCCGAAAGTTACTCTCCAAAGAATTATATATATATATATATATATATATATATATATATATATAATATATATATATATATATATATATATATATATATATACAAAAGGAACATTTTTATTCTCGAGAGAGGAAGAGAGAGAAAATGTATCTTATGTCTCTCTCTTACTTATTATCTTACATATGTGATGGTTCGCAGATTCACTCCCATGCAAATTTCCAAGGCCGACCGTGCGTATAGAAGTAGTTCAAAAATAGTCCCTAACTTTGTTCCTATTGGTCATAGATGCTTTTTTAATTGTGAGTTGTCTGACCATCTATCCAATGGATGTATGTACAAGTCTGTAGCATGAAAAATATATAAGTTATTAAAATTATTTATAAGTAAAAAACATAGCCCTTTTCAAACGTTTATTTTGTAAATAATTTCGATGAAAACGCAATATGCCTTTAACTTCTGAGATAGTTTAATTCTTAAAGAGTCCTATAAAATTTGCTAAATGTGTCTAGCATCATTAATAGAGCAAGTTCAATAGTTTGAATATTTAGTCTCAGGAGTAAATAAATTAAATAACTTTTAAACTATTTGATCGATAGGGGGAAATTTTGCACAACTTTAAAAGACGGTAATTTCTTTATGTTTAAATGTATAAGTAACATTTTATGTGGGTAATAAAAAATTAATAAAATTTATAAATTAGTGCAAAAAAAACTGATTTTTTGCAAATATTTTCGTAAATTATTTATCAATTTTAATTTAAAAAAACGGGAAAATAAAGATATTCTTAGTATAAAAAAATGATATAAATATTGTTTATGTAAAATATAAGGGAAAAAAGTTATAAACAAAAAATCAAATTGTGACCATAAATTATTGTTTAAAATAAACTCAAGGTAAAAATACGAGTACTTTTTTATATATTCGTCATCTAGTAACCCCACCTATGTTTTAAAAGCTTCAGACGTCTGCGAAAAATGTTTCGACCTTTTTTTAACCAGACTGGGCTATACTCTATTTATTGTCATTTGACGTATACGAGCGTTTCTTTCTACTCTTCCGTCCTAACCAGTTCTCTTTTTGCTCTATTAACTTCATTTTCCACTTCAGTTTCGAGCTTTTCGTAGTTAGATAGTGTGATGCCTAGATATATAGACTCCATTACTTGTTCTATTATCTGATTATCCAGCTTTAATTTACGTACACGTATTTTTTCTTATTTGGGTAAATTAACATGTTAAATTTTCTGTCCGTTATGTTAAGTTGTAGCAGCATACTTTGTAAATCATCTTTGCTTTGAGAGATTAGTATTGCCGTCGTCTGTATAGCAGATTATTTTAAGTTGTTTTGCTCTCATTTGGTACTCGTTTTAATCCTTACTTTTTTTAATATTTCATACATGATCAAGTTAAAGGACTTAGGCAATCCCGCTGTCTGACTCTATTCTTCTTTTGGAGCCCCAACATTGGGGATCATTCTGGCAAAATTATTTTATTAACCGATGCTGTAAATAGATTAGTTGTTGTTGTGGAGAACCATTTCCTTCGGTTTTTTAACCATGATATTCTGGTTCTCCCAATTCCTTGCTTTCCAAATACTTTGCCTTGAAGGATTATTTTTTATTCTGTATTTAGTGGCGTTTCTCATTATGTGTCCGAGATATTCTTTGTCCTTTTAATCATATACATCACTTATCTTTCTTTCCCCATTCTTCGTTGTACAATCTCGTTAGTTAAGTTGTCCGTGCATGATATCTTTGGTATTCTTCTGTATAGCCATATGTCGAAGGCTTTAATTTTTTCTCCATCCCTTCAGTAAGTGTCCAGAATTCAACTCTGTAGTATAATATCTTACTTTTATATTCAGATTAAGGTTGTGGCTTTTAAAAAGTTTGGTCATGTTGTTAAATGCACTCCTAGCCTTCTCTAT